GTGTTGATATAACTATATATCAATACGGAAAAAGGTTTTATATTTTTTTTATAATATAGCAATGCCAAAAGCCCGAAGGATAAGAAAACTTTCCGTATTTACAAGCGGCGGAAAATTTCCCGTGTTGACATTGAGTTAATATATCAACACGGCTCTTAGCCAATCAGCGTTCAGAATTTACAAATGCTATATTATAAATGGCAATTATAACACAATTAGTATTAACCAAATATCCCAGGGGCTGCAACTTGCCAAAATATTAACATAATTGCAAAATTCACCCTTTACATGCCTTAACTTTTTAGGATCATGGATGCAAGTTGCATTGCAAAGAATAAAATGCAATAAAAATAAAAATTCTGGAATTGTGATTGCTGTAGACTTATTAGGTACGACAATTAGTAGTAATAGCATGTTACTTTTTATTAATTTAATTTTTAATTACTAATTAGTATTAATAATCAACTAATTGATTAACAAATAATCAACTAATTAAAAAAAAATACTAATTGATTAACTAATTAATTGATTCATTAATTAATAAATTGATTCATTAATTAATAACTAATTAGTTAGCTAGTTATTAATTAATTGGTCAATTAATTAATTAGTAAGGTATAGTTTATATGCTCAATTACTAATTAATTAGTTATTAACCAATTAATAAATAATCAACTAATTAAATAGACTAATTAATTAATTTATTAATTACCTAATAATATTAATTTACAAAAAAATTAGCTAATTAGACTAATTATCAAGTTTATAATCAACATAATTAAAATCCCATTTTGTTTTTTATTATTTTTTAAACAGAAATCAAAGACATTCCTGGTTGCATCACACTGAGTTCTTGCGACTTTACACACAGTGATGTTCAACAGAGAATAATGCAATTTCTGCCACATGGTCAGGCTGATGTCGTAATGAGGTATTGGAAAGAGCATTGTGTTCAGCAAAGTACTCAAAATATTTACTTAAAAGTGAAAAGTAACACTTAAGTAGAAGTAAAAGTACTGACTGAAAATTTAACTTAAGTAAAAGTAAAAGTACTGCCTGAAAATTTGACTTAAGTAAAAGAAAAGTATTGGAAAAATATACTTAAGTAAAAGTACTACTAAAATAGAATATAAATTCGCAAAGGTTTAAGCAGGAATAGAACACTCAGACATGTAAGCAACGTGGTAAAACAACTTTCTTCTTTGAATATCTCCATATTATGTATTCCAGTCCACTCACCGCTTTGAGAAATACTTTTTTACTTCGCCAAAATATAACAAAAGTAACGAAGTGAAAAAGTAAATATTTACCAAAAATCGTACTTCGTTAGTAAAGTAGTAAAAAAGTACTTCATTAAAAAAATACTTCGTTACAAGTAAATACTGATTTTTTTACTTGAGTAAAGTAACGAAGTAAATTTACTTCGTTACTGGCTAACACTGTTTTTGACAATGCGCGTAAAGATTTTCCACATACATTTGTTCATTCAATATTAAAACTTAATTTTGTAGTGACATGGCACCACTATCAACAGGAAACAAGAAGCTAGACCACTCCAAGATAATTGTAAGTAGGCTGCATTACTCACACAAGTGTGTTCAAGAGTAATTTTTTTCTAATTGTGATCTTATTTTGTCTACTACTATTCATGGACTATTTCTTGCTTTGACCAGGATTTAAACAGAGCTGCATTGGAATTTGCAAGAACTGTGTTGTCGAATGGTGGTTGCTTTCTGTGTAAACTGTGGGATGGTAATGAAACAGGAGGTATATGTTTCTTAAACATTTGTGCTCAAAGTTTAATAACTCTACCAAACACCACAGCTAGGCTTTCTCCACATCATAACACAAATAACTCAAATAATAACACTGCACGATAAGTAGTTATAGGCGATCGGGGGCGGGGTACAGGTTTTCCATGGGGTGGTGCATGAGGGAGCCTTACTGCCCACTCTCCTCTGCAGTCTACAACGCCACTATCCCAACATTACCATTATTTGAGATGGCCGAATCTGCATGTTTGCCGTTCTGTTACGTTTTACATTTATCTTTTGTTTATAAACTTTACGTCCGGCTTTTTATCACGTATGCGTGATTGGACAGTTGCTATCGCACAACAGTAAATTCGCTTGTTAAAGTACGAAATATTTGAAAATATGGCTGTAAAACAACCTCGACATGTTTACATATTTAACCATGATGATATTTAACTAAAGCATTCTGACTATTTTCTCGTGAGCTCACAAATCAATTAAATCGTTTCAAGAAATCGACACGCGCTAAAGTATAAATTTCGCTAATTGGTATTGGAAAAGCAGAAAATGCGTGGTCAAGCAGATTTTTTGGGGTGGCGTTCTACTTCTCTAGGGGGTATAGATACCACTAGGTGTGGTACGTACACCTCCCCCCCCCCCAGACCCCCAAAACAGACCTGCGTTGAGAAGTGATTTTATTCTCAATATTTTTTATTTTCTAGAGTTTATTGAAGAGATATCCGAAAGTTTCTCACTTTGCAAACAAGTAAAGCCGAAAGCATCGAGAGTGGACAGTTCAGAACTTTATATTTTCTCCAAGGGTTTCATAAAGAATGAAAATATTACGAAGAAACGAACACGAAAATGATCGAACTATTTATAGATGTCTACACTCTGCAATATACAAAATACTGACAAAAGATGTCGAGATGTACATATTAACAAACACTAATTAATAAATTACGTCAATGTGTGTTATTTTACATGTTTATACAAGATATCATAATGGCCAGGTTTATAGAGTAGATGGATCATAGGTTCACGGCCGTCATCAGGGAAATCGTGATGATTGATAGTAGAGTCTGCTCCACTCCGATCTAAATGCTCGATTCGGATACATACCCCTGTGGCGTCTGATAACGCGATGATGTGAATGTTGTCACTTTCTCGTGACATCGGTTCCACTTCCTGCAAAGAATACATACTGCTTAGCAGGGTTCGAATAGGCCTGTTATTCCAGCTACAGACCAAATTTTGATCAAGGCATCTCAAACTCATTAATAATTCATGATTAAATTAGCGAATGAACTCACCCTAATTCGTCACATGATTGAGGTTGGATACCGCAAGGAAACACGCTAAAAATCATATACCATCACTGTTGTTAGATGAAAAACGGTTTTCATCTAATATCTGAGATCCTAATTACAAATTCAAGTCAAAACACAACAATATACTATAATAATATATATAAGCCAATGAAATGTTTTCGTTTGAGATGTTGTGTAAACAACTCGTTTCTCGTGTTTCATCAAGGGACCAAACACTCGAAAACAATAAAACACTCGCGCTCGTGTTTCATACAGTTTTCTCGTGTTTGGATCCCCTGATGAAACACTCAAACTCGTTGTTTACATATAACAAGAAGACCAAAATCCAATACCACAGCTAGAAAGAGCGTCTTATTAATAGAATGAGTAAAACTGCAAAGATTGGTTGCTAAATGTTGTAAAATGAGGAAAATATAGCCCTGTGAAAAACGAAATCCCATTACCATAGCTGGAAAGAGCATCTTAAAATGAGTAAAACTGCAAAGTTTGTTTGCGAATTGTTGTAAAATGAGGAAAATATAGCCGTGTGAAGTTCGCAAATTTTGTATATATTTGCATTACGCGCGTGAAAAATAACCGAAATTGAGCCGAAAGTGGTTATTTTTACCGCGCGTAATACAAATATATACAAAATTTGCGAACTTCGCAGGGCTGTATTTTCTTCAGTTTACAAAATTTAGCAACCAATCTTTGCGGTTTTACTCATTCTAAGACGCTCTTTCTAGCTGCGGTGTTGAATTTCGTTCTTCTAGCCTTGATCAAAATTTAGTCTGCAGCTGGAATCAACCATTACAAGGTTGTCACTCACAACTTCTTGACAAATTGTTGAATTACAGAACGATAACGAGTTGTTGGAACAACTTGTAACAAGTCTGTTGAGCTCAACAACCTTGTAGCAAGTTGTCAACAAGCTGGGAACAAGCAGTGCGAACATATCCTGTTGACAAGTTGTTGGAAGAGCATTGCTACAAGTCTGCTGCAGGTTTGTTACAACTTGTGCGAGCAACAAAGCTCACCTGACTACAGAAATCTTTCATAGTTTGACCTCCTTCAAGAAAATTTTCAAAAAACTCTTCTTTCTTCTGTAGTTGAGCAGAAGTCAGCAATCGTAAGTAGACGACAATATAGTTGCACATTCCTTCATCCTGGAAAACCTGTACAGGAATAACATATTGATATTAATAATCTGTTAAAATTCTATACCGACAATCTTGGCATAAATTATTGTGGACAGCGCGCGCAAACGAAAATACATGATTTCCCCTATCAAATTCTTGCAAAAACTGCATTTAGCACTCCCCCCCCCCCACCCCCGCCTCTTTCAATGTTGAAATGCTAATACATTGGTAAAGATAAAGCTTTGCGAAATACAGTAGATTATGAAAATCAACATTGCAAGGGGGTGGAGGGGAGGGGGATAACATGCCAACATGTGCATACCAGTTTTGAGCTAATTGTCCACATAATTTTTGCCATGAGTGTAGCTAAAAACCCCATCTCATGTACGACTAGGGCAGGGATGGATCCAGTATGATCTGGTAGGGGGGGGGGGGGGCTGCTCTGCCAGTTCTGGTGCCGAGTTGTGTAGGTCATGTGTGCCGCCTGCCCACCAACTTGCTTCACGACTGCAAAGTCTTGCTTGACTACTGTATTTGAATTGTAATTGTTGTTCACAGTTCGTTTATCATCATGTTATTACTCAAATTACTGTATCTCATTTTGCCTCTAATAATTTCTTGCTTTATCATGAAAAATAGCTCCCCCCCTGCACCCCCTCTGGCCAGGGCTAGGGGGGTGCACCCCCCCCCCCCCCCGTCAATCCCCCC